CTGGCATGTGGTGCTGGGGGATTGAACCGTGGTCCCTGGGCTTTGCTAAGCTTGTTCTAAGTAGGTGCTTTAGACCACTGAGCCATCTCACCAGCCCCAAACCTCTGTACTTCTAAGGCTCTCTTGCCACTTGTCCTCTACCACATGAGTATGGGCAAGCAGTCCCGGGTCCGGTAATAAAGGCTCATATTTAAATTTTAATTTGGACTCATGTCTGGTTTCTATGTTGAGAACCCACAACACTGACATTCACCCCTGGCAACAGTGATAAAGCTGAAGGTCTAATCAAACTGCAGGGAGTTATTCTTCAAGAGTTCCCATCCCCTACCTTTGCTCCAACTCCAATTGAATTTAAAAACAAAAACAAAAAACAGAGATTGCTGTTTCTCAGACTTTTTTTTCTTTTTCTTTTCTTTTTTTTTTTTTTTTTAATTTTAGGGAAGGGTCTACAGGGTATTCAGATTCTCACTACTAGATTAGACTTGTAGTGATCCACCCATTTACAGCCTCCCAGGAGCTGGGATTACAGGCACTTGCCACCACACCCAGTCTCAATTGCCATCTCAGCATGCCCCAGGGGCAGGGCCAGACTGGCAGGCCTAGGGATCGAACCCCTGGCCCCTGTGCCTGTTTGCAGGTGCTTTAATCCGCTGAGTTATGTGGCCAGCCCTCTCTGACATTTTTGAGTCCTGATCTAAGTTACTTCTTATCCTCAGGTCAGAATTATTGTTACCATTCTGCTAGGAAGGAAACTGAGACTCTAGGAATTTAAGAGACTTGCTTGGGATTGCTTTAATAGCAAGTAACACATCTTGTCTTCTATCCTAGTATATGTGATTGCAAAGCTTCAGCCACCCAGCCTGTTTCCCACCAAATAACTAACTCTAACACTCTTCTATTTCTCTCCTCCCAGTTCAACAATATGTAGTCACCACCCTGAAGGAGCAGTTGTCCACCATCAGGTTGCCCGATTTATCAGGACATTCTAAGATTGATTTGATTGGATGGGTGAGCTATGATTTTCACAGGTAAGGTCTTCAATTTTCACAGGTAAGGTCTCCTTTCTTCATCCCAGGGCCAACTAAGGAGGAAGCATGGGAACCTAGGGCTAATGGGAGGGATCAACATGGAATCAGCAGTGGACTAAAGACAGAAGCCAACTGTTGTGGGGTTGCTCCAAAGGACTATGTGTTTCCTGCATTATCCAGATGAAAAGAGGACTTTTAATAAAAACGAAATATAAGAAGTAAAGCCATGGGCTGGTGAGATGGCTCAGTGGTCTAAAGCACCTACCTAGAACAAGCTAAACTAAAGCACAGAGACTGCGGTTCAATCCCCAGCACCACATGCCAGCCAGCCCCCGCCCCCTGGTGGGCTGAGCTG